GACATGCATGTTTCGGCGTTCAACGCCTCGTCAGTGCAGCTTGGTACACGTCTAGATACGTGAGACACTCGTATTTATACCCCATGAACTTGCTCTCACCAAGGCATGTGGTACAACACGGTGACTCAACGTATCCAGATTTGCGCAGAGCGTAATGAGGCCAGAGTGCTCAAACGACCACAAGGGAAGTGAGCTTTGCATTATATATATATATATATATATATATATATATATATATATATATATATATATATATATATATATATATATATATATATATATATATATATATATTAGCTGTTTCATCCAAGAGGAACCATCAGGTGACTGACAAATTTCGAATAGTGGGCTGCTTAAATGTTTACGGTCGGAAACGTGGACGTCAAACAATACATGTATTCCTTCCATTGTTATCATTGTTTACTAGAAATTTATTTTTTTGAAAATATCATTACATGTCGAAACTATTTCCGATTTTTTGTTAAGTAAAAATTATTTGTTTTTTTTTCTTCAAAATACAGAGGTTTTCCTCTAAACACAAATTACATCTTTTTGATCCTCCCGTATAAGAAATCGTGCGTTTTAGTATTGACCAGGTTACCGTATTTACTCGATTGAGCGCCGCCCCCGATTGAGCGCCGCCCCCGAATGAGCGCCGCATTTGAGATCAAGTTTTTTAAAAGAGCGCCGCCCCCGAATGAGCGCCGCACTAAACAGTGTGAAAACTTTCCGCGTCAAATTGGGACATTTAGTGACAAAAACCTTTTAAAACTTGTCTATTTTATAGTTAAAAGTTCTTGTCATAATTCACAAATAAAATATTTTTTAAAGAGCGCCGCCCCCGATTGAGCGCCGCCCCCGAATGAGCGCCGCATCTGAAGCTCTAAAAATTTAAAGAGGGCCGCGGCGCTTAAATGAGTAAATACGGTATGTAGAAATCTTGTTTGTTATCTTTTAATTTCCAAATATATTTCGCAAGTTCTGTATCGTTTGAGTACTTTTTGTGATTGAAAGACCTATTGTGGTTTCGGTATCGCTCTTTAAAGGTGGTTGATGTCATGCCGATGTAGTGCTTTATGCTGTTCGTGTTGCTTGTTGTGACAGTTGCCTATATATACTAACTCCTTATAGTCTTGCATTTTTCCTGTAGTGGGTATGCGTTCCTACAATTGCAACTGTCTGTGTCTTCGCTCTGTGGTAGTTTTTTTCCTAATTATGCGTGCATTGTGTTGAGTAATGATGGACTTCACATTGTTCATGCAACTATATAGCTGACCTTAACTGTGTTTCTGTTGAAAATTTTGTGAAGTTTGTGTTAAGGCGAAAAATGTTTGTCAATCAGGCTGAGAAAATTGCGTCCTATGTTGGTTTTGACACTCTTACTGAAAGGAGGGTTAAACCAAATGATGCAGCATTGCCCATTTCTGCGTGGTTGTTGTGGTGTTTCCTTCATGTAGCCTAGTTTGTATTAAAATTACTGCATGTGACGTTGCGCATTTTGGTAAAGAGGGGCAGTCTCCTGAAATGTTTGCTCGTCTGATGAGAGAAGTATAGGGATATATATAGGGAGAAATATATAGGGAGAAAACTGGTTCTGAAGCTTTTGTATTAAAAAAATATAGCGTTCATCTAGCATGTTACTATATAGGAAGAGAACTGGTTCTCGAAGAAAATATATCTGGCTATCGAAGAAAATATAGGGTTCATGCATCTTGCATGTTACTATACTGTATATAGGGAGAAAACTGGTTCTCAAGCTTTTGTATTCAGAAAATATCTGAACTCCTCAACGGAAATCTAACCTGTGTCTCCCGATTTGCGGTTCGATGTAATTATATAATTCCGTTGTTTTCAGACCACAGTGTGTTGCTGTTAACTAAAGACCTGGTTCCTTTGTGCTTAAAGTTTCATCATAGCTGTAATGTGATAATTTGTACTTTTATTAATTGCAAATCTCACTGCCACACATTAGCCTACTATATAGACTCTTCTAAAGTAAAGCGGCCCATCTAGTGTCATTCTTTCTCACGCATGTGAAAAATGCCCCCTCTTGGCCTCAAAATAACCTATAAGTAGTACCGGAATTGCATGGCGTTGTTGCTTGCTTTGGCAATTGCAATGTCTAAATGCAATGTCTAAGTTATTTCTTTTTGTCTTTTTAGAGAGACCTTTGACGTAAAAGATATTAAAAATCCTTCCAACTTAGCTTACACTAACCACCATTTACCTTTTCACATGGATCAGCCGTATTATAAATCTATTCTTAATGTAAGTTCCATTAATTTATATTAGTATAATTACATAGGTGATTATTGAAAATTCTCCACGCTGATTGGTTGCCGTTGAGGTGATTATTACGCGATAATCACCTAAGCGATTTTCAAAAATGGCGGCCGAAGCCTTTTTGTCAATTAAATGACAAAGAAATGTGTACTTTCTTATTTTTTCCCAAATAATCACCTATGAAATTATACTAAAACAATTATTCACCTCAGGCTCGGTGATTATCGTGAATAAAAACCTCGACTTCGTCTCGGTTTTTATTCACCGATAATCACCTCGCCTTCGGCGAATAATTGTTAATTAAAACATTTTCAGGAAAAGTTGTCAAGAAAGCTAAGACCCTTTCAAAAACTTGTCAATGAAACCTGTCTGGGAAAACTTGTCAAGAAAAGTTGTCAAGGAAAGTAGGAATCGCCGTCAACCTTTAATCAATTTTAAATAACAATACATAATTACAAGATCATTATAATTATAATGTTATTTAGGTAGATTTAAAACAGAATTCAAGATTCCATCGATTCAATGAAATCTTGCTAAGAAGAAAGGAAATCTGTGAAGCCAACGTCCTTTGTGCAAATTAATCTAGCTAATGTATGAAAATAATTTGCTAATAGTCTTTTCGATGTTATAGAGGCAGATCTATACACTGCACACATTACGCCTTTTTTCGCATAGTTCTGGAAATTATTCTTACAAATAATACAAAAATGCCGAACGATCAAAACCCAGCGAAGCAACTACGATCAAGATGACTGGAGAACTTATCTGATAGCAAATGTCATCGATGCATGTGGTATCAGCAATTCTATATTGCTGCATTTCCTGATTTAATAACTTCATATATATTGTGGTTATAATTTTCTCACCGTCTGTTTCGCACACCTGTAGATGCACGGAGATATTCAAAATAAATTTTGAGAGTCAAGAGAGAAGACATCTCCTTAGCCAATACTCTCATTTCAACCAAGCGGGTCATTCTGGATGACCTGCATGCTAGTAAGAATAAATGGCGTAAAGAATTTCCTTTCATGTGTTACGATGATGATGGCGGGCCTTTTTATTGCCTAATGCAAAGCCGAAACAGAAAAACAACTTCGTCAACGCAATATTTTTCCGGGAGTGGCATATTTTGTGACATGTGGTGTATAACGAAGTCTGTAATGAGAATGAAATATTTGCGAAGATAAAGTTAACCCAGCTCGATGGAAAAATAAATCCGCGCCAGTATGCTCGTAAGGGGCACTCAACAACGGATGCCCTCCTATAGATGTTGCATGCAGTCTATGGGGCTATTGATTGCGATGGTGCAGGGGCTCGGATATTTTTTGCCGATTTCTCAAAGGGATTTGATCTGATTGATCATAAACATTCTAATTGCTGAGATTTGAATTTATTAATAGATATATGTTGACTTTGCTTGCAACATGGTTGGTTAATTGATTAGAAAAATATATGTATAATTATATAGGAAGAGTTTAGAACTTCTAGTATAATATTACCATTATTTACAGATACAAATGTATGTAATTTATAAGTTACTCAATGTTTATTATACATCGTTACAGACGAGGGAATGAACCAATTTTTAAAGCGGTTTATGACAAATCGTTCGACGTCCTACAGTTAATTGCAACGAGTTTATTCGGTGGACGTAGATTGTAGCTGGGATATTATGCTGGTTCAACAAGTTCGAAAAGAGTACTAGCTTCTAAAAATTTTTGAACATAACAGTTCGCGCCTAGATTACAATGTTGGGATGTTAAAATATGATGACAATGGGATGACGGGATCCTTTCTATTTCTTTGGATAGGTATTCGGGTATGTTATAATGCCAAACTTGGGCGCAATACTCCAAAATGGGTCTTACACATGAAAGATACACTGATATCAATGTTAAGTGTCACAATGAGCTCGCTTGAGGAGTCTAAGCATGTAAAGGCGTTTCGCGAACTTTTTCACTATGTAAGCCACGTGCATGATTATTCCACTTTACGTCGTCATTGAAAATTAAGCCAAGTAGTTAAGCGGATTTCACCACTTCACTTCGTCAACGATCATTGGAGGGAAATTTGGATTGTTTCTCCAAAACAAACGAGAATTTCTTTGCATTTACGGGGTTAACTCTTTCTCGTCAACCTGTTGAAAGAGGGACATTTTATTTCTTGCGCACCACTGCGTATAATTCCTTCTAAAATCGTTTGAAAGTTCGAATCTTTGTTTCAAGAAAGTATTTCTGAAACAGTCGAATCGTCAACAAATCGTTTATCATAATCATAAATAGAATGGGTCTTAAGACAGTGCCTTGTGGGACCCCACCGTTCACTGGTTCGAAACTAGAGGTGTATTTACCTACCTTCACTTGCTGTTTCCCGCCAGTAAGAAACTATTTTACCCAATTGCATGTGATAAGAACGGGGTCGATGCCCATTTCCTCTATCTTCTTGATAGGAATATGTCGAAGGTTTTACTAAAATCCAGAAGCAGTACACGTACGCATTGGTCAGGTTGGTCGGTAGTTCCATACAGATGATGAAAAAAAGATGTAAGAGCGTGAGTTGTAGACACGCCGGCGAGTGATCCAAATTGCTTCCGGTCAACGAGGTGTCTGATCTGTGACATAATCCACTCAGCGACAATATGTTCCATGGTTTTTGAGAGAATTGGTGTTAATGAAATTGGACATAGATCGTTTTCAATTTCCTTAACCTTAGCTGTTTTACGAATAGGTATCACATCTGCTTCTTTCCATGAAACTGGTACGACTCTCTTGACGCATTAAAAGTTCAGCAACAGGTGATGAGAGTTGGCAAACTCATTTAAGTCCCAACTGAGTCAGTTTTCAGGACCTGAGGCTTTACTGCGTTTGAAGTTGGAGAGCTTCGTAAAAACATCTTCAGGAGAAATGTGGTATTTTGAAAAGATTTCGTCAACTACTGAAGGATCAGTTTCAACGTTTTCCAATTTGGCTGTTTAGAGGTAGTAGAGGGTTTGTGAATTTTGATACACGGAAAGCTTTCGTTAATTTTTGTTGCTATTTCGGTTGAATGGAAGTCCTCCAAGTTGTTTGATGGATTTCCACCAGGAAGAAACATTGTCACAATTTTGTACCTTATTTGCCAAAAAAGAACTCCTAAGACTGTTATTTAGCCTTCTCAATTTTTTGTATAACTGGTTGGATAACCGTTTTTTTTAGTTGGTAGACGGCAGGCAGTACGAGTTGGGTACCGTATCTGAGTGGAAGTATCTAAAAGGAGATATACCCCGGGAACGGAATTAGTGGTTATTCTTTTCACCGTGATGACAAATAATCTGTTGCCGCTGACTGACAATAGCGAATCAAATATGTGGACGACACGTTAGCTCCAGAGATATTGCCTGACAATTCAATCAATTGGTTAATATGACGGTATCCAATATCCATGATTTTGCCGTTATGCATATAGTGTATGAAATTAATAATCTAGTCCTACGGAATTTTATGCCCTACGAGTATTACGAAGAGCTGGCGTTACCAAATCTGGCATTTTCTTGGTGTTTATCCGAAATGTTGGAATCGATTCAGAAGATAGCGTTAAAATAGCTTTCCCGTCTGCAGAAACATATTCAGAGGAACTTAAGCTTGCATGCACGATTAGAAACTTTAGCTATGAACAAAATTAAAATTAAAGGTCACCCTGTAAATATTTTGTTGCCAACACAGTCAGAGAAACTTTGTAAATATGCACTGAGAGACAAATCAGAAGATACTAATATATCTAGAAATCGTAAATTTTGTCGAACTAACTTATATATGCTTGATAGAGGATGTATTTTACTATTAACATTAAATATGTTTTTTTAGTCTAGTTTATAAGTACTTAGATGTAGATAATATTGAAGTGTAATTTTATGAACTCGTCAATTTAGTTCTTTTGTAACTACAAAGAGAAAAAAGTTTTATAAACCATTTACCATAACGTTGACATGGATGCCACTGTTTCAAAGCTTTCTACCCGGCCAAACACCAGTCTACTGAAATGGCGCGGTGCAGACTTTGGTGAGCACATTTTATAAACTGCCATTGCTTTATGCTTGCAATGTATAGGAGTTGTGCGGCGAGAAAAACTGCCCTGTACCAGCCAATCGTTGCGAATGAAGCTGAATTTCAGTCCGATGGCTGGTCGCTGATAGTGTTCCTTTGCCTAATCCGACTTCAACAATTCTTCCCACGACTCGGGGTATAACGAGAACCATAAGAGACATTGACCGTGTCATGGAACTATGTAATCACTAATCACGCTCTCTGCTGAAGTTCTCAGCTGCAATTAATAGATAGCTTAAGATCTACGACGTCAGCTAGGACATCAGAGATAAGCAGAGGACTGGGACTAGGACGTCCTAAATAAATAAACTTCCACTTAAGATTCACGACGTCGACATTTAAACTATAATATATATTTACATCCTTTTGTAAATGAATTTAAAAGAGACGTGTGAATCCATTACCGTTTGTTATGCTCTTGTATTTACGACGGTAAAACTATTGTTGTGAGGTTGTCGACGTTTGATGGACGACGAGTAAATTGAGAAAGACACATGCACACTTCAAAAACTATTACCAATTCACTTCCGCTTGCCGCCCTAAATATTTGACGTCGTAGATACTTGAGCTATCGACTTATTTACGACGACGTCCCAGTCCTCTGCTTAGCCCTGACGTCCTAGCTGACGTTGACGCCGTAGATCTTAAGCTGTCTAGTGATCGGCAAGAGAACTCAACTGGTCATCATCGATAACTTGTGTGCAACAACGATGGAAAGCGATTTGGCTAAAAGTCTGTTGCAGGGGCGATATATGACCACGGTCGTATTCTTCAACAGCCATGCCCACGGTGCTTTTCTAACAATTGCCTATTTTACATAACCACCAACGAGGTGCCATATTTTCGAACAGAAAATGAAAACGTCCTAGAATGGCTATACCAGCGGAGATGACACTGGAGACAGTTGCCGCTGACAAGTGGATTTTCGACAATGCGATGGCTTATGAATGGCACGTGAGATCAAAGCCAACTTGGAATGTGTTGAAGCAGATAAGAGGTGTACGAGACTACGAAAGCCACAGCAGCGATTACCAATGAACCTTCATTAACGTGAATCGTATAAATATGCAACGCACATATCATCGGGCTATTTTGCACCATAGCAGTAGGCTTCTCATTAGAAATAAACTTTTAAATAAAATTTAAGATGTAGTTTTAAACAAAACAGGATTATTATTCGGAATTTACAAAGCAGTCGGCGAGAAAATTAGGGGAGATAAATTATTATAGCATCTTATGCATAAATGTAAGGTGAGGCCAGTTTAATAAGTTTTGGCTCTATTAACTGTGGTTTTGGTGGTAATCCATCTAGACCTGATGCCTTAGTAGGTGATAATGATGACAATAATTGGCGAACTTCCTGTTCAATTATATCACGCAAAGCAAGATGAAGGGAGGTGCGATAGGAAATAAAAGACAATTGTTTGCGAAAGACTATGGAGACGATGAACAATGAACAGCCTGTATGTGTATTAGTGTGTGTGTGGGTGTGTCTCTTCATTTGTGTTAGCTTGTGTTCCAAATTCAAATATGCTAAGAAAGTGTTACAATGCTCTAAAAGATCATTTATTAAAAAATCTAATGCACATAATTTGAAACACCATCTTTGTCCTTCGTATGTTATTAAAATAATTATGCCTCGAACAAAACTAAAGACAGCTGAAATTGTTTTCGATACCACATTTATATGTAAAATTTACGAGAGGTAGGGTGTGCATGTTTAGAATATTATTATTAATTATTATATTATATTATTTCAGATTCAACTGTTACATTGCATTCATGAAAATACCTCAGGAGGCGATAACATATTTGTTGACGGATTCAATGTTGCCAAACAAGTATACGAGAACCACCCTGATGCTTTTGATGTTTTGAAAACTTTCTATGTACGATTTGTTGACTTTGGTACAGATGCTTATGGAAATTTCACATTTGGTTATTCTCATCCTATTATTAAGTATGTTCCTAGTTTTCATAATTTTAAAGAAAAATTTACTAACGATCAAACCTCTTCCCTAACCCCATTTGACAAAGTGCGCTCCCAACATGAAATGCAGATCCAAAGAGAAAAAGATGCATACTGCACTGGAAAATAAGCGCCCCGGCCAGAACATTTTGCGTGGCGCACGTAGAAATGACGTGAGCTTACGAAAAGCGATTGACTCAAACATCAAAGTTTCTGACAAGAGTTTCACTTTTGCATATATACTTAATCTGTATAGTACTGAGAGGTTTAGCAAGCGACGTTACAATCGGAAATAGCACAGAAAAATGGCCATGTCGCTGAGTATTCATTGCATCATGGTATGGTATCATGACCTCACTCAAAAATTTTCGCGCACTTCCTTTGCTTTTCTTTGACTTATTTGCAACAAAATAAGGCACATGTTGTAAGTCCAGAGTGTTTTTAGTTATTCCCTTACAAATCTTTTCATACTATTTCTTTTCTTTGCCCAATATGGAACTGAAAGACTACAGTATCATTTTTCGCTCGCTACCCGACTTGTTTATTATAAATGAATACAAAGCCTAGTCAAATTGTAACCAAGACCCAACGTTTCGACACTCCAGTTTAGTGTCACATTGGGTCTTGATTACAATTCGACTGAGCTTTGTATTCATTTATATAAACCAGTCGAGTAGCGAGCGAAAACATGATTGATATACCTGGTTGCCGTGAACGAACAAACTTTTAAGACTACAGTGTTTTATGCAGGCTTTGCGTAGCGATGTTTGTTCGAAGCGATCTCACCCACTGACTTTGATTTTGCATCACAAGCTCTTGTTGTAAGAGAAGACGGAAGTTCATTTAGCATAGTGGAAGTTGTGAAAGTGTTTATTGTAAAGTGGAAGCATGGCGCATGCGTATTGAAAACGAACACGAGGAAACATTTTGTTGAGAATTGTACGAGAGGGAATTTATGTGTTTATGTTGTGTTTTATATAATAAATTTGTACTATAACTAGTGCATGAAGTGAGTCGTGCGAGTCTGAGAATAAATCAATATAAAGGAAATAAATCTTCATATCGAACATGGTCCTTCGAGCCGGACGAGAGAGCAGATTTACAACGCGAATATAAAACACTATTGGAATTTGAAATCTAAAACACGACGAAATCCCTCGACTTGTAAGTTGTTTTATCAGTATTCTTTTGAAATTGAAACTCATATTGAAACTCTCATTACGATGAGTGAACCCCAAGAGTTGGATAGGAAGAAAAGAGTCCGAAATGGCCACAGAACATCAGCAAAACGAACAATTTCTGTAGCAAATGACCTCTTGACAAGTGTTGATGATAAATCTAAACTAGCACCTCATGTTGTGAAGCTAACACTTTATAAGAAAACACTCGAAGATAAACTAGTTGTATTTCAACAACAAGTTTATTTGTTGGAAATAACTCTACCCTACCGACACCACAAAATAGTTTTACCCTACGGACACCACAAAATAGCTCTACCCCACCGACACCACAAAATAGCTCTACCCCACCGACACCACAAAACAACCAAACTGAAACAGTATTGGCCATGGCGGGTTTCGAGGAAATGCAAAGCCCTGGCTCTCCTAGTCAGAGTGGAATTACAGTTCAGTCAAGCCATCAAATGAACCAACCCTCTGTTAAGCTGCCAAAGTTAAACCTGAAGAAGTCCCGGGGTGATATAACAACCTGGTCTATATTCTGGGACACCTTTGAATCTGCGATTGAAAGAATCCCATCTTGTCGAATATTGACAAATTTAATTATCTTAATTCACTGCTTGAGAATACAGCGGCTGATACAATATCTGGACTAACGTTAACATCTGGGAACTATAACGAAGCAATTGTCATACTTAAGAAAAGATTTGGGAATAAGTAATTGGCAATTAACAAGCATATGGATATCCTTCTCAATCTGGATCAAGTCCCTTGGTATACCATCACAATCGTATGGTAATCTCTTATGTTCCATGCTTATGAACAAGCTCCCACAAGAGCTGCGTGACACAAAAAATGATAACTGAGATCTTCACCGATTACTGGAATTGCTTAAGGCCGAAATAGAAGCAAGAGAAAGAGCAACCTCAGGTAGAAGTTGAACTTCGTTGAAGATCAACTTGTTTTTGACTTAAGTGGCATAGCTGAATTGGAACTGTGAACCCACCAAGCGAAATATCGTTCGACTCTCCGCTAAATTTTACGACCCGTTGGGATATATGTCGCCAATAACTGTCTAATTTAAACAAATGTTCCAAGAGCTATGTGAAAGTAAAGTTGGTTGGGATGATGAGATCTCACATCCGATAAGAGTCAAATGGGAGAAACTAGTAGCAGAACTACTGAAGATGAAACGCATTCTCCTTCCCCATTGCTATTTCTATAATATAAGCGATATAATTTCTTCCACCATCCATGGTTTCTGTGATGCAACCAGCAGTACTTACGTAAGATTTTTAGCATCCAAGACAAGAGTCGCCCCCATTGACAAACAAACTATTCCTCGGCTGGAACTGTTATCCTGTCTTATCCTTGCAAGATTACTTTTAAAGACGTGGAGGAGGCCTTACGTCAGGAGTTACAATTGCAAGATTCATTTTGCTGGACTGACTCGAAAGTAGCGTTGTTCTGTTCTGGATCAAGAACGAAGATGGGGAGTGGAAACAGTTCGTGCAGAACCGAGCAATGGAAATCCGAAATCTGGTAAGCCCGAATTCTTGGCGACACTGTCCAGGCAGAGATAACCCAGCTGACATACCTTCAAGAGGAATAAACCCTTCAGAGCTAGCGAACAGTATACTATGGAACAGTGGTCCAGATTGGCTAGGTCAAACTAATTCTGAAGAACTTGAAGACGGTGAAGAGTAATGCGTACCACCAGAAGAGTGTTTAGCGGAAATGAAGGTAACAAAACCACCAAGTTTGTCAACGCTTGCACTGAGCAATTCTTCGCATGGCCTCAACGAGATCATAAGTTGCGAGCGATTTGGAACCCTACAACGACTTCTTCGGGTGACAGCGTATGTTCTACGATTTGTGAAAGCAGTGAAACACAAGAAGGACGGTAGAATTGAAGATGGTAGTTTAAGTGCGAACGAAATTGATGAAGCTCACACTCTGTGGATGAAGGAAATGCAACGAGCATTACCTGAGAAAAGGGGGTTTGAACACTGGAAGGTTCAGTTTCATCATAGTTAATAGAAGAGATGGTTTGGAAACTCATTAGAATAACAGTATAACTCATCTATGTTAGTCAACGTTTATTCATAAATCTAGTCCTACACCGTCATGTGCGTATTATATTTTTGCCCAGCTAACCAATAGCAATGTTTTAGGAATATTGCCTATTTGGATGTCGTGCCAAATTTGACGTCAGAAGGATTCATGAGGAGTTTCAGAAGATTTACTGCCCGAAGAGGAATACCATCAACTATTATGGTGGGACATTTTAAACCCGCGGCGAAAGAAATTACTAGCATTTTAACTCATCCTGACGTAAAGAAATTCTTTGCTGGAAAACGCATAACATGGCATTTCAACTTGGTAAAGGCCCCTTGGTGGGGAGGATTCTTTGAAAGGCTGGTCAAATCGACGAAAAGATGCTTAAAGAAAACCCTGGGAACGTATAAACTCACGTACGAAGAGCTCCTCGAAGCAACGGCTGAAGTCGAAATGATCGCCCTCTGTCGTATATTTTCGCAGAGGACGTCGAAGATCCGCTCACGCCTTCACATCTGCTGATAGGACGAAGGTTATTGAGTCTTCCAGAACCCAACTACAATGAGGACGATCCAGATTTTGACATTAACTTAGGTCTATAAATGTATTTTCGGCCACAATGAATTTGAACATTGAACATTTTGTGTCACTTATACATCATAATCGAACTCGTACTCAGAATCCATCTCTAATGTTAAAATCTCCTTACTGTAGAACATCCACTTTCCAAGGATCGTTCTTTAACCGAATAGTTAAAACTTGGAATAATGTTGGAAAAATAGCCTCTCCTGAAAAGTTCGCCAGTTTAACAATTTTTAAAAGCTTTCTGCATGTGACATACACCGCATTGGTCAACAGTACTTTTAATGTTGATATGGCATGCACTTGGTCGCTCATAAGAGACTGTCCCTGCCACCGTTCTTAATATGCATGTTATGTAATATATATTTGTATATAGTGAATTAGGTTGGGGTTTTTTTTCCTTCTTTTTTTGGAGGGGGTGCGCCTAGCATGCAACTTTGTTGCTCGTGTAACTCCAGCTTAAAGGAAACAAATCTTCATATCGAACACTTGCTATTCATTAAAATTAGATGTGTTTGTTAAATTACGCTCACTCTGAACTTTATCGAATTGATATGATGATATCGGCAACTAGATCGGTAAGACAAACTTAGCCCCCCATCCGTAAAATTTGTGTTATTTCGCAAAATCTGAGAGACACGTGACCAGCATGCACCAGGGTATTTCCATCAGCGAAGTAGGAGCGTAGAGGAGAGAGCCTGGGTACGAGGTTAATTAAAGAATTGGGTTTACAGCAAGAATTGGGTTTGCAAGTCCCCCCCCCCCCCGATATTTTACAAAGTGTCCGTCACTCTGCAATCAGCAACTTTGATGATTATGTCGATATCCACTACTTTTTTATTTCAGCGTAAACAAACATGGTCGAATCAATAGTTTTGTATACAGCGCAAGTGCGGAGTCTGATTCTAAAGGTGATTGCACCCCTGACGAACTTCTTGCGTTTTACGATGCTTCGTATGTACTTATGAAAGGACTACACGACCCAAACAACGTGATAGACATTCATTTGAAGTCAGGTCAAATCGCAATGTTTCACAATGACAGAGTTTTACATGGAAGAACAGCATTTGAATCAACTGCAGAGGAACCTATGGCAAGATGGTTGCAGGGTATGTATTTTGACTGGGATGTTGTATTTTCAAAACTCCAAGTGTTGCAGATGAAACTTGGTCTTAAAACACCGTATTTACCAGAGCAATCTGATGACTATTTTTGAACTACGCACTGCTTATATATAAATAGACCCTCAGAATCAGTAGTTGACCTTTTGTCTTGCATGATTTGAGGTGTCGAACACTGGCCGGTGTGATAACATGGATAATAAAATACATGGATGGGAAACTAGCTGACGTGACCTAATGTTTTCAATGGGATGATGGCGTTGAAACCTAGTTGCAAATCAAATTCTCAAAAATGGCATGTTTAGCAATAGTACAGCTAAACATTTTAGTCAAAGAGCAAATAAATATAACTAGGCCATTCTACGATGAAATCTCTAAGTATTCCCAGTCAATTTTAGCAAATATTTCAAGCACTAAACAGTGAAAAATGCATCGCAAATTTCGTTAAAATTGGCGACGCCAATTTCGTAGCTACAAATGTAAAAAAATACAAAACAAAGACGAAAAACATTTACCTTGAATACTTTGTCGTGGCTTAGGCATGTTCTTAAAACAATTAGACCAGTTTATGCTTCAATATTACTCTTTTAAAGCAGAAAATATAGCGAAACAACAAAAATGCTGAGAACTTTGGCAATACGCGTGACGTCACATATTGCAACTAGGTTTAGACTGTGACGTCAGGAAGTTTCCTATCCAGTTATTTTAGAATCCATGGTGATAATAATAACACATAGACTAAAGTTTTGTATGTATCTATTCAATACACACTTTATTGGTGTTATGGTGTAGTTTTTTTAGAGGCATAGTATAAATAATTTGTTTCTTTGCGAACTCGATCGTACCACGTCGTTTCCATCAAAGAATAATATTCACGGATAAAAACATTAAATTAGTGAATAGTGAACTTTATGTAGGCACGGAGGCCTGTCATCGAAAATAAGATGATCTTCCCAGGCGCCGTGACATTTGAATTATTTACAATATTTACAAAGAGAATGAGAAATTAAAGCTATATACATAACAAATTAATTCTACAGTTTATTTTTGAATATTTTTAGGGAAGTGGAATTCCTAATTTCAATTGGTATTGAATTCCATACCACTGCTCCATTATATTCAAGACTATTTTTCAAAAAATTGGTGTTTGGTTTAGGGATAACACAATTGTAGTCATGACCTCGTGTACCATTACTGTGAATTAAATTCGCTCGATTAAACGGCTGTGAAAGATAAGATGGGCTTAATTTGTGGAATATTTTGAACATTAGACAAGATTTTTGTTTCATTCGCCTATATTTTCTAGTGTCGGCCAATTTAAGTTGTTTAAAATTTGGGACGAGCGTATTTCATAGTTGCTCCTAGTAATTATTCGAGCTCTCGATTCTGTAATTTTCGAAGCTTATCCCGTAAACCTTTTCTGCAATTATCCCACACAGAACTACAGTAATCAAAATGGGGGAGAATGATAGACGAGTATATATGTCAACTAGCGTGTTAATTGGCACCAGATCACGAATGCGTCTTAACATTCCTAGGCCTTTGGATACTTTTTTGGATATATAATATACGTGCTCTTCACACGATAAATTTTCATCAATCATAAGCCCTATAGGGATTTTGTTACAACTACTCGCTTTAAGCGGTGTCCTCCGATAAATATCTTAAGATCTGATATCAACTTATTTATTCGGACTTTGGAGCCAATTAATTAACATATACTTAGTCTATTTGCTTGCAACCATCTATACAAGATATCTAGATCTTTATTAAGTACGTCTTGAACTTTATTAATATTTGTATGATAAGCAGTTATATTTGTATCATCAGCATACATATTAGGGATGGATTCAGACAAGCAGCCATGCAAGTCATTGATGTATATAAAAAATAACAGCGGTCCAAGGATAGAGCCCTGTGGTACTCCGCATGATATTATTTGGCTGCTTGAAAGAACTCCATTGACATAGCAGCATTGAGTCTTATTCGATATATATGACTGGAACCATTTTAATTCATTACCTTTAATCCATAACGCATTAGTTTGTTCAATAGAATGTTATGATCCATGCCTTTTTCAAATTTATAAAAAACTGCTATGCCAATGTCCCCTTTGTCCATATGTTTGTACCAGTACATCACAGATTTATCCAAGGCACTTTCTGTAGAATGATTAGGACGAAAACCTGATGGTGATCAGAAAACATGTATTTTCCTTCATAAAATATCCGTATACTTGTGAAAAAACTATAGCTTTATACCTAGAAACAACAGGAAGCACAGAAATAGGCCTATAATTATGAACTTACATCTTTCTATCACCAGTTTTAAAGACTGGCGACACCTTGGCCACTTTTAAATCATTTGAGAATGTGCCAGTCTTTAAAGATACATTGAAAATGGTCGCTAGTGATTCTGAAATAATCGGAGCTGCAATTTTTAAAATTTTTGTAGGAAGTTTATCAATTCCTGAAGCTTTTTAGTTGCTGCTAGTTTATTTATAGCAATCAAAACCTCGCTAGGTTCAGTTTTTTGAAAGTATAAACAGTGCTTGTTTCAGGTATGAATTTGTCCGGCTGATCTTGGATATAGGTGGAATTTGATGCGCTAAATCATGTCTGACATTTATGAAATGTTTATTGAACAATTCAGCTATTTCACTGGGTTGTGTATAATTAATATCATTAACCTCGATACCCTCAATTATAGTATTTTTTTTTATATTTTGCCTAGCATGCTATTTACTATCTTCCAAGTTGCTTTTGAGTTACGTTTACTTGTATTAATATTCGAGGTATAATAATTTCGTTTAGTTTCCCGAATTTTATTGTTTGTTTTATTCCGTGCTTTTTGGTAAAGCTCCCAAGAGCGACTAGTTTTAGAAACAGTAGCTTTTTTCTTCAAATTATCTCTTTCAACATGCATGAGCTTTTTAATTTCAGGAGTATAATCCAGGATGCCTCTGTGTTTCGAACACGTTTTCTTTTTATGGGTGCGTGAGTATTTAACGTATTTAGAAATAACGTATTCCAAGTCGATAACTCATTGGGATCATCAAGTTCTTTAATATTATCCCATGGTTGATTTGATAAATCATATAAAAAAAATTCAGCGTCAAAATCTTTGTAATTTCTAGTCTCAATTAGTCTGGGTCTTTCTCGTTGGGACATATATTGCGATGAATAGCAAAAATTAAATAGTGATCACTTATAGTAGTATTAGAAACACCAGTTGCTATAACTCCATGTGGCATATTTGAGATTAAGTGATCAATTAATGTACTAGAATTTTTAGTCACACGAGTCGGATTATCGATTAATTGTGTGTACTGGTACTCATTATACAGGGACAGGGATAGTAGAGGTGTGAGTATCGATTTCTTTAGCGAGAATATTGCAATTAAAATCACCAGGTATGATTGATTCTTTATTATAATCTTCGAGATTTTTAAGCAATTGTTCAAATTTGCTCATATTACTGATTTCAGATGATGGCGGACGATACCAAGTAGTATAAGGAAAGACTTTTGACTTGGTTTCTCGATCACAACTGTTAGTGCTTCAAGGTCATCGTGACATAAATCAGAACGAACCTTATCGTCGATTTCTGTTCACTTTTCAAGACGCGTTTGCGAAGTTCGTTCCCAAGTTCCCAATTACGTTTCGAAGTTCGGAATTTGGGCGGGAACTTTGCAGCGAACTTCCGAACTTCGAAACGAACTTCGAAACGAACTTCCGAAGTTCAATCGACACATGGTGTGACATATGTAGTGGCGTGCGAAGAACTGACGGATTTCTTAGGAAATATCGAACAAAAGATTAGTAAAGAAAGCTACGAGATAATTTAAACAAACACATTAAAGGACATTGGCAACCACAATTTTTATTGCTTCATCTGAAAGAGCATGAAAAAATAAGCCGGTTGGCCATTTAATGCTCTATTCTATCTCGTCTAGTTCCGAAGTTATACGCAAAAATGTGCAAAATATAAATTGCTGATTCAGCACAACGTGTGACGTCATTAGTTGGGTAAATGTGTTTATTGAATAGTAAACTGAAGCATAACTCAGTTATTATGGGCCCAAATCAAATGAAATTCTGCATACTGATTGTACATGATGAGACGCAGTGAAAAACCTTCTAATTTTGTTGCCAAGGTAACAATGTCGTTCCCAGGCCCCTTGCGCCAATTTTATAAAACAGCTTTATTCATGGTACTGATAAGGTTAAAATAATATCAGAAGTACGTGTACCATACCTATGCATGCCAAACGTTTACTTGCATGATAATAATTCGAAAATGACATACACATAGATAAATGCAACTAGTTATTGAAAATTAGTGTAAGGGACCTGGGAACGACTGTGTTGCCTTGACAACAAAATTAGAAGTATTTTCCCATGCGTCTCATCATGTACTATCTGTATGCAAAATTTCATTTGATTTGAGCAATAATAACTTAGCTATGCTTTAGTTTACTATTCAATAAACATACTTACTCAACTAATGACGTCACACATTGTGCTGAATCAGCAATTTATATTTTGCACATTTTTGCGTATAACTTCGGAACTAGATGAGATAGAACGGGCAACCGGCTTATTTTTTCATGCTCTTTCAGATGAAGCAATAAAAATTTTGGTTGCCAATGTCCTTTAAGAGATAACTTTACATCTTGGCCCGCATTAAAGCTGCTAGATCCGGAAAATTTAGACGTTATATTTGCCAAAAGTAAACTGCCTCTGGCTCTGGGATCTCGAAAAATTCTTGACTACCACTTGGATTTGCTACGCAATGAATCGCCGTTATCAAAGCCTAAACCACAGCGAACCGATCCCGCAGGTGAAGAAAGTTCAGCTGACTTTTTCATGTAAATATAAATCGACGAGCTGGAAATTTGTTCTGCGTGTTTACGCTTCTTTCTCTGACGATTGTGAGAATGCTTTCTTGATTTAATTTTATATCGGTCGCTTGTCTTGGTCTGGGAAATTTTTATATTGTTTTTGTATCTGCGCGTAGCGCTAGATACTATGCTATCGAGTTGTGGGTGTGGATTTATGTCCAATACCCTCGACCTTGTTCGAATCGTGAATCGTAAGGGCGATCGTTAGATTCGTTAGATTCGTGAGTCTTATAGTTATATGATAGCATATGACTTGTCCTGTGGCTTGTTGTGGATATGTCTAAGACTATAAGTCAGTTTCATATAGTATCAGTGTAGGTGAATGTCTTTCTAGATTCGTACAATCCGTACGAATCGTTCGAACCGTTCGATCGTGAGTGGTCTCAGATTTGTTCGAATGGTCAGGTTCGTGAGGTTCATGGTATCAAATGGGTTCGTAGTTCGCTCTAAGTGAATGTCCAGGCCTTAAAATATCGGTCGGTCACGGACATTGTCCGACCCATTCGTGAAATTGTCCGACGTAAAGAGAAAACCACCGGACATTCTGTCCGACCGAATGAAAAGTGAGGTTTATTGTTTGTCCGACCGAAGTGTAGTTGATGTCCGACCAAATTTTAAGTAAATGTACCCTGTAAATGTTTATCAGAATTGTTATATATGGCTCGCTAAGCGTGACAGGTTGGTTAGCAGTACGAAACTATGAATTTGAGTCGTGTTTATATAGTATTATAGATTGTAAAATGAGAAAATCCAAGACCAAGAAGCCGTCAAAATAACTACAATTTTGTTCTAATTATAGTACTGTTTTGACAGCTTCCTGCAGCGCAGCAGCGGCATCTTTGAAGTCATATAAACAACAGTTAATTGGCTTCCTATAGCTTTTATAAAAACACGCTAAATAATTTATTACTTTTCGTGTGCCCTTTTACTCGAAAAAAGTCGCATTTCTTTTTAAATTTGAAAAAACTGAATTTCAGAAACAGGTTCGATGGACAGGGTTTTTTTACCGAGAGAATGAGCTCTAAAGATGAAGAACCGCTGTGCTCCTTTTGCAAAGAAAGGAGTACAAAGTATAGTTGTTTGTCCTGCAATGTTGTAGTTTGTAACGTTTGTTCCTCGCCAGCTAATCCTGGCACTAAAGGTTATAATGAAGAAGCGAAAAGAGTAAGTGTTTGCAAGAAGTGTACTAAACCTCCATCGGCATCAACATCTGAACCTCCCCGAAAAGTACAGAAAACCATATCTTCGATGTTCAGCAAATCAAACAAGACGCCCTCAACATCGTCGTCGAGTTCTTTTACGAAAGCAAGAAGAAACCCCAAACAACATGGCAATGTTAGTGCCTCAAGTTCAAAAGAAGTTAGAACAGTCAAAACGTCTACCGTAGAAAAGTGGAAGTCCGATTTATCAGAATATTCGGCAGCAGAATGGTTAACATACGATGTTGATGCTGAAGGAAAGGCAAGGAATCTTAAATGTAAATTTTGTATCATGTTTGAAGACAAAATCAAGAGCTTGCCCAATTACTCAGACATTTATATCAAAGGTTCAACGAATTACAGAGTTTCAGCAGTAAAAGATCACGCAACGAATATCAATGGTGATCCACAACATCCTCACACCGTGGCTCATGGTAATTTTCTGAAGGCCAGTGGAGTAGAAATCGAACAGCGCGCAAAAAAAATTGCAAAATCCTGCGACAAAGGAAATACTGATGTAGTGTCCGGGTTACAAAATCACAATAAAATGGATCCATCTACGTTAAGAAAAACTAAAACTAAGTTCGAGACCGCATATTTCGTGGTCAAGGAAGAATTACCCATCAGTACATGCAAAAACATTCTGAACCTGGAATCTAAACATGGAGTTGAAATCGGTACGAAATACCTTACAGATCCATCGGTGGGTACTTTCATAGACTTTATGGGGCAAGAACTTAAACACCAACTGAATGCCGATTTAGCAAAAGCCAAATTTTACAGTGTATTATGTGATGGATCCATGGATACCACTACCGTAGAAAACGAGGTATAATATAAGCTTTGTTCCTTTTTCAAAACGGGGTGCGGAAGTTCGTTGTGCGACTTTTCCCTTTTTGTTTACGTTTTAAACGGTCCCGGTTTCACTGGAAATTGACAATTGTTCGTAAACCAATGACCGTGTTCATTATAGCAAACTTTGAATAGTTTGCCTTGAAACAAGAACGATTTCTGGTGGAACCTGGACTTTTAAAACGTAAACAAACAAGAAAAAATCGTCTGCAGATACAGTCGTTTGCACCAGCGTGACACGCCATAAAAAATGCTCTAATAGGATACGCCCCAATCTTGCAACTTTCGGAAATAAGCATAGGCATAAATTGGCCAATTGACATATTTGTTGCTTTTACATTATTTGACAAATTGTTCCACGCTATTGCTCCATTATAACTGAGACTTTTTTTTCATGTAATTTGTTTTTGGTTTTTGTAAAAGAAAATATTACTCTTGCCGCGTAAATTGTAGTTTTGATTATTAGCGATTTCGAACACTAAATTGGTTCATACTTTCTGGTAGCTCACTATTTTTCACTTTATACAGAACCACTAACTTATTTTTCTCCCATCGATCGGCTAAAGGTTGCCAATTTAATTCCTTAAATATTTCTTTTGTTGCTATTACATATGGTCTGCCAGTGATGACCCTTGCAACCCTGTTTCGCATTTTCTGCATTTTGTCGCGCAGATATTCGCTGCAGTTAGTCCAAAAAAGCTACAGTAATCAAAATATAGCAGTATTATCGCGTTATACTTCGTCCAACTTAGACGGATAATGCGAAAAAAACGCGTCTTCGAGTTATTTATATAAAATAAAATAACTCGAAGTCGCGTTATGTTGCACATTTTTATGCGACGTATATTCAACTTATCTCGCAACATATAACTCGGCGACGAATTTGCATTTCAGACGAAATGCAATTGTAACTAAATTGTGTGAGACTGTAGACTGTAGTTATTATAAAGTAATGTTGAAACAAACATGCAAAACAAAGCCATCTACACGATTGCTAATTTGTTTTTTTCAACCCGGGCTAAAATTGCTGAATTGTAGATGAATAAATGTCATGTAATCGCACACTGTATTTTTATAGGATTTTATCCTTAGCCTTAGGCCGGATGCCATCCCAGCGAAAATACTAAAACTAGCTGCCCATATTATTGCCCCTTCCTTAACGTATATTTTTAATTTATCTCTTCAAAGCGGTATTTATGTTAACGATTGGAAACGAGCTCGAGTAATTCCTGTCTTCAAATCTGAAGATAAAAGCAAATGTGAAAATTATAGACCCATTTCTATTTTGTCAATTGTAAGTAAAGTCTTTGAAAAAGAAGTGTTTAGGCAAGTGTATACGTACGTGAATGAAAGTAATCTTCTCTCAAAGTATCAATCTGGCTTTCGGCCACAACACTCAACCTTATCAGCCCTCATTAAAATATGTGACGAAATCTTAAATAACATGGACGAGGGGAAAATAAACTGTATAGTATTTTTAGACATACGGAAAGCTTTTGATTCAATAAATCACAATATTTTATTAAGTAAAATGAGATCCAACTTTGGCATTAGCAGTAGTGAATTACTCTGGTTTGAATCATACCTAACGAATAGGGAACAACAATGCGTAGCTAATGGGATACTATCCTCCGTTGGAAAATTAAAATGTGGGGTCCCCCAGGGGTCGATCCTGGGGTCGTTGTTATTTTTGCTCTACATCAATGACCTACCACAATGTCGCCAAAAAACCACGCCGGGTCTTTATGCTGATGACACGGAAATTTACGCGTCATCACACAATGTAAATGATCCCACTGACAACATAAATTATGGCCTAAATATTGTTACGCAATGGATGGAGAATAATAAGCTACAAATTCATCCTAAGAAATCTAAATGTATGTTTATTGCATCCCCTTATAAAATTAAGAATATACCTCAAGGAATACCGATATTAATTAATAATGTTCCTGTCCCAAGATTAAATTGCTACAAATGCCTCGGTGTCACTTTGGACGAAAAATTGAATTGGGAACATCATATTGATACGATTATTAAGAAAGTTAATGCAGGCATTGCAGTAATTAAACGTATGAAAACCTGTGTTCCTCAGGAATTCTTACAAACAGTTTACAACGCCTTAATACAACCCTATTTTGACTACTGCTGTCAATTGTGGGATACCTGTGGAATCGTCCTAAAGGAAAAACTACAAAAATGTCAATCCCGAGCTGCTAGAGTAATAACAGAAGCATCTTATGATATTAGGTCGGCCGATGTTCTTGCAACTTTGGGGTGGCAAACTCTCGACAATAGGCGAAAATACTTGAAATCCATTTTTATTTACAAAATCTTAAATAATGAAACTGCTCCAAACCTGAAAGAAAATTTTTTGAAAATAAGTGATTGTCCAATTACATACCAATTAAGAAATTCTCAAACAGATCTGGTACTTCCATTCCCAAAATCACAATTTAAGAAAAAGACCTTCAGTTATAGTGGAGCAACTCTTTGGAATAACTTATCAATTACTGCTAAACAATCCAATTCTTTCAGTTGTTTCAAAAGACTAATGAATCTACATTTTCGAAAACCATAAGTATGTAAATAGTTTTGTATGTTTGTTATTTATTTATGTGTGTTAATTGTCAAACTAATAATCATGTAAATAGTTTCTTTTATGTATATGTATTAGTCTTATTCTTACACGTCCCCTATGGAAACCATCAAAAGATGTTAGGGCTAACGTGTTTAAATAAATTTTTATGTATGTATGTATGTATGGGTTGAAATTTCAGCTCGGTTAACTGGGCAAAAACTCAGCCTGCGCTGAAAACTCCCTATGTATTAAATCGACTCCTTAATTTTCAATGAGTATATATACTTTGGATTCTGCACCTTATTTCTAGGTAATCTACTGTCTTCATTTTGATCCACAACCTGTTGGATCAGATTCCGTGGAAGTAAAGCTTTCATTCTTAAGTGTGAAACAGGTAATTTGTTTGTACATTGTCAAATGATACATTTGTCCATGGGTATAATTTTCAATTTTCTCTAATGAAACAAACGTTATTTGTTAAGTTGAAATAACAAATTTTTGTTCCAGGTAAAATATGGAAATGCAGGCGGAATAACCGACGCTATTGAAGAAAGTTTTAACGACGTTGAAGAGTCTATTTCATCTTCATTAACCTCGGTTGGTATTTTACCATATCACAAAAAGTTGGTTGGTTTCACATCGGATGGGGCTAGCGTTAACCGTGGATGTAACAACAGCATCATGACCCGACTTCAAGAGAAATCCCCATGGATGGTGTTCATATGGTGCGTCGCTCATCGTCTCGAGTTGGCACTCAGTGACGCATTAAAGACCACGGAGTTTCAGGATGTTGATGATATGCTGTTGAAGATGTATCTCCTTTATAAGAAAGCGCCAAAGAAAGTGCGTCAACTTAAGGAACTACACGATCTTTACAAAGAAACCATGGAGTTTGACGAAGGAGGAATAAAGCCGAAGAAATCATCGGGGTCGAGATGGATTTCTCACAAGTTGGCTGCAATGAAGATGTGTTTAGACAAATGGGGTCTTTACATTCAGCATCTGGAAACCATGACAGAAGATGAAACCATTACAAGCAAAGACAAAGCCAAGCTGAAAGGTTACCTTAAACGTTGGAAGAGCTCCAGAATACCACTATTACTTGCCTTGTTTATTGATATATTAACTATACCGTCGATTCTATCATTGACATTTCAGAAGGAGAAAATAGATCCAGTGCAGACCGCGAAAGCATTGAACAAAGCGAGGGAACGTTTGGCACAATTTGAGAAAAAGGCGTTCAAAAAGCTACCGAATGTTAGAAACTTTCTCTCAAAAATTAAGGAAGTGGATGCTCAGTTTTTCTATCAAAACGTCGAACTCTCATCATTCGAGAGACATAAGGTTTCTGTTGAAAGCAAAAAGAACGAGTACTCGGAGAAGATTCGACAATGCTTGACTAATCGACTTGAACAAGAGGATGAAGGCCAAGAGATACTCGACGCCGTTGTACAAATTCTTGATTGCGAGGGATGGAAAGACGACAACGAATTTGCCGAAGACGCCATTTTTGCAGTGTATGACAAGTTCGAAGTTCCACTTAAGTCTGGCGGTATGTCAGTGACTGTTCCCGACCTACTTAACCAATGGCATGAGATCGTCGACTTTGCTGTTGAAACGATCGGGGTGACCGGCCAATCATATCTTATCACATGGCGTAAGATATTTTCTGCACCAAGGAGTAAAGGATGGAAAGATGCGCTTATCTTAGTCGAACTGTTGTTTACTATCCCTGTATCTAACGCCAAGCTCGAGAGAATGTTCTCCAAATTAAAGCGCGTGAAAACAAATTTCCGTTGTTCCCTTTCCCTTCAGAGGTTGGAAAACATTCTACGCATCATGGAAGAAGGCCCGACATGGGAGGAGTATGACCCACTGCCCGCCATTGAATTATGGAATTCGGCGAAACAACTGCGGCCACACGACGAGAAACAAAAGCGAACATATACGGCACGCAAATCACACAAAAGGCTTTCGACTATGTCGTCAGACGAAAGCGACAGCGAGACTGCAGAAAAAGAAAACCATGAAAGTGATAAAGAAGACGAAGACGTGCAGGAAGAAAGTACAGAAGAAACCGAAAGTCAGAGTTTATTCTCTGATTCTGAAGAGGAACCATAAGAAACTATAATTAAACTGAACTACAATGAACTCTCTAAGAAGATGAACTATAGTGAACAATAACTTTGTGTTTGAGAAAAACAAAAAAGGCTTGCTGGGCCGTATTACATTTGTAAAAAGTCTTCACATTATTGATTAACATATATAATTTATAGATTATGGACTGACATGATCCATTCTTCATTTCGTATTCCAAATTTTAACGATGAATTTAGATTAAGTGGGCAATGAATCCTTGCAGCACTTCTAAGCGGCATACGATTTGTTTCTTACGCGCCAACTTTTAGTTTTTAGAATTTCTCGAATTGTTATTGTCTTACTTCTGTTTTGGCAAGCAAAGTCCATTTTGGATTGAAAATACAAAAGTATCAATGCATAACTGCCCAAAATTTAGCGTTGTTACGATCTTAAACGAATACATTTTCGCGCCAAACTAAACATAAGGCCATCGGACATAATATTAAAAATGTCCGACCCATTATGAAAGGTACCGGACATTTTGGCGGACGGCACTACTGACCGATATTTTAAGACCTGAATGTCTTCGTAGATTCGTACGATTCGTACAAATCGTACGAACCGTTCGATTCGTGAATGCTTTCAGAATCGTTCGAATGGCTACATTCGTGAGGTTCATAGTATCAATGTAGCTGAATGTCTTCGTAGTATCAATGTAGCTGAATGTCTTCGATCGTGATTAGTCCCCTGGATAACACAGAAAATAAAAAAGCTAATGAGACTTAGGGATTTCCATAAAAAGCGAGCTGTGAAATATAATTCCCAGATTGATTGGAGTAAGTACAAAGAAACTCGAAATAAAGTACACTTAGAATTGCGTTTGGCAAAAAAAAATTATTTCTATGATAAAATTAAATTAAGTGCTCAGTCTAATGATGTGGGGAAAAGTTGGTCATTAATTAACAGCCTTATTGGTAAGACCTCGAAAGAACATTACGGAACTCTGTGTCGATGATTCTTCCACTTCAGATGATTGTGTAATTGCGGAAACTTTTAATGAGTTTTTTGTCTCCATTGGTTCAAAATTAGCTTCTGAGTCCTGCAGTGACTCGATGCATGCGACAAAGACTAATAATACCCCACGCTCGAGCACAATTTTTAAGTTTTCTGAAATAGGAGTGGAAGAGGTCACTGCTGGGTTGCGTAATCTTAAAATATCAAAAGCAACTGGCATCGATATGATACCTTCTCGTGCTCTCAAGATAGCTGCAGATATTATTGCACCATCAATAACTTGGATTTTTAATCTGTCTTTAAAAACCGGAATTTTTGTTGTCGCATGGAAAAAGGCTTGCGTATTACCAATTTACAAATCCGGCGATAGACGATTATGCGAAAACTATCGGCCAATTTCAATCTTACCTGTCATAAGTAAGATACTAGAGAGGTCTGTTTTTGATCAATTATACAAATTTCTTAATGACAACTCCCTTTTATCAAAATATCAATCCGGTTTTCTGCCAAAGAACTCAACGCTGACTGCACTATTACAGATGTGTGATGAATGGCATGAAAATTTGGACTGTGGGAAATTGATCGGAGTTGTTTTCCTAGATATACGAAAAGCATTTGATTCAGTTGATCACAAAATATTGCTACACAAAATGAAAACACAATTTGGTCTTACAAGTATTGAGCTAGGCTGGTTTGAGTCGTACCTTATGAATAGAGAATAGGTGTGCAATATTAATGGGCAATCTTCCTCTCCTAAAAAGATTATAACCGGTGTGGTGCAGGGCTCTATTCTAGGACCATTGCTTTTCTTACTCTACATAAATGACCTACCAGAGTGTCTCAGTAAAACTACTCCCTGTTTATATGCTGATGACACCCAGATATTTGCATCTTCTACTGTATATGCAGATCTAATAGAGAAATTAAATTCCGATTTAAACCAAATTAGTAAATGGCTCGCTATAAATAAATTGCAACACCACCCCACCAAAACGAAGGTAATGATCATTGGATCGGCACAAAATCTAAAAGAAAAGGTTCGAGATTCCCCAGTAATGCTGAATGGGAAAACGATCCCTTCAACCGACTCCTTTGAATGCTTAGGAGTGATAATTGATAAAAGATTACTCTGGGACAAACATATTGAGAAAATATGCAAAAAAGTGGGCGCTGGAATAGCAGTTATGAAACGAATCAAGCCGTTTGTCCCTATTGAAACTATGAGATTGATTTATAACGCCCTTATACAGCCATATTTTGATTACTGTTCTCCCCTATGGGATAATTGTTGTGCTTATTTAAAGGAAACACTTCAAAAATTTCAAAATCGCGCGGCTAGAATAATTGCCGGTGCTAGTTATATGAAATTCCATCGGCTGACGTTCTTGAAACTCTTGGTTGGGAAGCACTACAAGTGAGACGTAAAAGGAATAAAGCAATCTTAATGTATAGAATTTTAAATAATCAAGGTGCATCGAGTTTGAAAGAATCGTTCACTAGGATTAGTGCTCTGGAAATTAATTATAATCTTAGAAATTCGAGTACTGATTTGGTTCTCCCACATCCCAAAAGGGAATTTCTCAAAAATAGCTTTAAATTTAGCAGGGCGAAACTCTGGAATAGCCTCCCTTTGCAAGCAAAACTAGCTCAATCTGAATATACCTTTAAAATGAATATTAATAGTCTTGATACATAATTTACTTATTTCTTCGTAATCTTGTAAATATCTTGTAAATACTCTTGTAAATAACTTTATTTATTCAAGTGTGTTCCGACGCCTCTCATGGAAACCAGCTTGTAGCTGATGAGGCTAGCGTTGTTTTTTTCCTTTTTGCTTTTAAATAAAAGTTTACATACATACATATATACATACATACATACATACATACATACATACATACATACATACATACATACATACATACATACATACATACATACATACATACATACATACATACATACATACATACATACATACATACATACATACATACATACATACATACATACATACATACATACATACATACATACATACATACATACATACATACATACACACATACATACACACATACATACACACATACATACATACATACATACATGACTAACATGACGTGGCAACGCGAGCCTGCGTTCAGTGTTGACGTAATTACGATTTACGAATACTTCATGTTGAAACAGGGTTTGGAAAATATAAGCGAGGGGTTGTTGCATGCATGTATTTCTAGTGCAAGTTATAATAATGTGTCAGAAAATAGCACAATCTTTTGTATATTTAACAAGACGCCTACTCAGGCGTTAACTTGGGCCACCTATTTCCTGTAAATCAGTCAAATTATAGATAATATGGAATGCTGGTAGGCATGATGGCCTAATTGAAAAAACAGTTGGCTTATGAAAAGTACAAGCAATGATGAATTCAAGATGATCCGGGCATATTTTTTATGCCTTTACTTTTGTTCAAAAGCTGACAGTTTCTTGTAAACAGGAATTCTGCCAATGTGCAAATTCAAATTCCAGTTATCTTTAAATTCAAATTCCAGTTATTGTTATTCTGTGATTCCACAGCAGTAATCAGAACTTTATAATAGCCCCTTGACACGACATGCATTTAATATTAATCAGCTATGCCCAAATTTCGTGCTAGCTCAAAAATACAAGTTCAAAATAAAGACCAAGCAAAGTTATGTCAAAGGATGTAGTAGAATCTGGAACCTAGTAGTAAAAATGGCACGCCAATAATTCATATAAAAAAATTTGTTTAGGGCTATAATCTCTGATCGCGGTCTAAAATGGTCTTATTAGTCACTGTAACCTAGTCTTAGAAGAAAGAGATTGGGACTGACATGGGGTTTCACTGGTAAATACAAAGCCCTGGCAGCCACCAAGTATGTTTGTTAACTCATTAAAGTGCAGAACTTGCACATTGACCAGTAAAGTCGTCTGGCGTTAGACAAGTAAAAAAAGTAAGCTGGGCGCACTGGGGTGCATTGCGACTCAATGGGTTAATAGCATAACTAGGCTAGAGTGGCGAATAGGATCCCACCACAAAGACGGATTCACAGCATCAAGCTAGGCTTGACAATTTAACTTCAATCAATCAAAAAAATTTTTTTAAACACGATTTAAAAATGAGCAGAAAGTTGCTGATGTGGTAGTGTGAATTTCACAGTTTATAAAAATGTATTAAGGCAAAGCATATTTGTCTTTCTCGAGTGGCATTCTTATATATTGTCAATTTGTCGCCAGCTAAATTAGCACGTAAATGTGTGTAAAACTGAATTGTATTGAATCAAAAACCTATATTAATTAAATCTATTTTCCATGATTAAAAGTAATTAAAATTAAGGGAAAGCAAATTGTTTCCAAAACATTTCATACAAGTCAAAGCTGAAAGCGTTTCCATGTAGTGCTGAGGACAACTTCATATCATTGTTCACGTTTATAGTTTTCATTCGATTAAATGTAGAACAATTTGCACGATCTCCTAGCAATGGCGAACCAAACCACAATTAAACGCCAGTGAATTGCAGTAAAATCTTCGAAGAAATTACACTTGAGGGACAACATTATTTTCAAGGAGGCTACAGGAGATATACTTGGTGTAATGTCACATGAAATGTGTGGAAGCTAATCCGCATGACTGCAATTCCTCGACATGGAAAGCAGAGAGCCCATTTCTAGACTTGGGCTACCATAGTAGCCCAAGTAATAATCATAATTATTTACATATTGTTGAAATATGGATGTCCATTATATTGGGGATGTCCACGAACGTCTCCCTAGTTTGAAGCTGAAATATTCATATCTTTTGTATCAGTTGTCTTTCTACTAACCAACTTTTACTCATTATACAAGAGTTGAATTTGCATTCCATTTGCTTCGCAAGTCGCAACTAAGTACTAAACCATAAACCTGTGCAATGAGCGTCTTGAGCGACATACCCAACTATCCAAGTCTTTTGAACGTCGCATACGAACAAATCTCACTGAGGTTTTTCTACAGAAACTATTGCCCCATGGCTAGAAATGAAGGACAGTCAGCGCCACACATCGTGGGCGTCGAATTTAGGAAAATTATGCGCCCGCGACTCACTGCGCTGACTAAGGAATGATAAAATTGATTCACATGGGTGAATATATTTTGCATATTATGCCTTTTTATCACGTCTTTTATGAACATTGAATTTTTTTTTATCATTCGTTGCATAATTTGAGTACGGTCGACTGTTTAGCAGTCAAGTGAGATTTCCACAGCAAAATATTGTTAATATTTCGAGCCATCGTCTATCTCTTTTATCGGCCAGCGGCTATTAGCATGTTTACATAATGTCGTGGAAGCCACAGTTGCACGACAAAATTTTGGAAAATTTCGCACCTGTTCTTTACAACAAGTTCTTCGGTTGTGAGAATTCAAGATTGCAGTTTGTTAAAGCTAGATTACAGTCCATTCTGCGCATGTGCGGGCTTTGTTTACATTTTTTGTTTTGGTTTGGATCCACTTCAATTGTATAATATGAAGTATAGCGGCTATGCACTATATAAATGGAGTCCGAGTCAGGAGTGGAGTTGTTAATTTTTTAAAATTGTCTTCTGAAAGACAAGCAATTAAATATTTTGAAAGATCATGAATGGAAGATATATCGTTGATCAATTCGGCATTTGTTTTTTGTGTGCCTCGTTGATGAAACATTCAGAAGAGACCGACAAAGCCGACCCAAAGG